TGTGGATGGTGGGTGGATGGGTGGGGGGATGTGTGGATGGCTGGATGGGTGGATGAATGGGTGGGTGGATGGATGGATGGCGGATAAGTGGTTGGCTAGGTAGATAGGTGGGTGGATGGGAGCATTGGTGCATGGGTGGATGGGTGAGTGGATGGGTGGGTGGATGGGTGAATAGGAGGGTGGATGGATGGATGGGTGGATGGATAGGTAGACGGGTGGATGGGTTGGTGGATGGGTAAGTGGATGGATGGGTGGATGGGTGGGTTGATGGATAAATGCATGGATGGATAGGTCAATGAATAGGTGGGATGGGTGCATGGATGGGTAGATAGATGTGTGAAAGAGTAGATGGATGGATGGATGGATGGATAAATGGATGGGTGGATGGGTGGATGGATAGGTGAATGGGTGACTGAATGGATGGAAGGGTGGATGGGTGGATGGATGGGTGAATAGGTGGCTGAATGGATGGAAGGATGGATGGGTACATGGATAGATAGATGGGAGGATAGGTTGGTGGATGGGTGGGTGGATGGATAAATGGATGGATGGATAGGTGAATGGATGGGTGGGGTGGGTACATGGAGGGGTAGATAGATGGGTAGAAGTGTAGATGGATGGATGGATAAACAGATGAGTGGATGGGTGGAGGGATAGATGGATGGGTGGGTGGATAGGTGGGGGAGGGATAGGAGAGTGGACAGGGTGAGTGGGTAGATGTATGAAGGATGGCGATGGGAGGCTAACATCAATAAAGATTGATTTCAAATGACGATGCCGAGTGAACAAAGCCGAGTCCTGACAGTGCCCCCGTGTGTTCCTTGTCCTGCTCCAGTGCAGCGCTCTGTGGTGACAGTGACACATTTAAAAGGAGAAGAGTCACTCACACTGAAGTCTGCATGGTGTTTGTCTCTGAGGGGAGGGACTGGGAATCGGGATGAGGAAGACTTTGACTTTATCTACAACGTTTCCTCTTGTCATTAAAAATGGCAAAGTGCTCTTAACTATTAATTGTGTCTAATAAATACACTGGTGTTCATAACATTTTTTATGTCTTTCTACGTTTTTAATTTTATATTTAATAAAAACAGCACAGATTTCAAAGAGCTGAGGCATTCTGGAGCCTTCTGAGGACTGCCTCCCTGTCAGAGGGGCCTGATTTTGGGCCATGGACTCGGGTCTCTGGAGGACCGGCCTCGGTGCTATCACTTCTGCAGAGTCCTGTTGATGACTTTTCTCTTAAGGCAGAAAATTGGCTCCAACAAGGTCAAATTCACGTCTTTCTAATTAAGTCTTTAGTCCCCATTGAATGTCCTACTGGCTGACAAATGAGCGGGAGGAGTCCACTGGGGGCAGGTGACCTGGTCAGCGGGCAGATGCAGAGGACGGACACTTCCTGAAACATTAGTTTTACATCTCAGTATTGACCTGGCCACGGGATGACAAGGGAGGCTGTTTTGTGACAGTATTCAAGCAGTTAAGGAACACGTTGGGCACAGATGAGAGGGGACAGGCTTGTTTCCACAGGGAGCTGGAAGTCTACAGAGCGTGGCACAGGCTCAGTCCACACACGAACAACTGCCCTCGCAGGAGCCAGACGGGGAGCCACAGGCAGAGACCTGAGGTCGGGGCTGGCAGGGAATGCAGCCCGGCTGCTCAGGGTGCTGGCTCCCCCGGGGTGGGATGCCACTCTAAGGGTGACGGGGTCATGGCCCACTTACTCGTGATTTCTCTAAAGCCCACCGAATTGCCCCTTCCCAAGGGTGAACTGTGAATCATACTGAGTTCTTTTTAAAGAAAGAAAACTTCTTTTTGGTCCCGGCTGAGAGACTGCAAAGACACAGGCAACGAGTTTAAAACTCACGGATAGGAGTCCTGGCCAAGGACGCTGCAGGTCTGACCTCGCCCACTCCCTGTCAGGAGCCTGCCCACGGGCTCCACCTTGTCCTGCGCCCCAGTCCTGGCCTCGATCGCCACCCCGCTGTGGGCAGGAGCCTCCTACCTGCCCTCCTCCTCCGTCCTCCCCACAGAGAAGCTAAGACGCCCCCCACACACCCAAGGAGTCACCAGCTCTGAACCAAACCTAAGGTCCCACTGAGCCAGGCCACCATGCCACGGGCTCACTGTCCCTCCTCCCCCCACAGAGCGATGGTGTCGGGCACCCACTCGCCCTCCCGCCAGACGGTCACTGTCCTTCACTGTCCCCAGGCAAACACACACAGAAGCTGTGGAGAGGGACGCTGACCAAGCCGTCCCCCAGCACCCCCTGTGGAGCCACAAAGGAGGAGCAGGTGTAGAAGCCACCAAGGCCTGCAGGGAGCCGACAGCGGGGGCACGAGGCGCTCCCACGCAGGCAGGACATGGGGTGGCTGCCCCAGAGGCACGACCCTGGCGCTCAGGCAAACCACCAGCGCTGGACCGGGGGACTGAAAGGGGAGTCTGGCGCTGCCCTGGGGGCCGAGGAGCAGGGGGAGGGGTCGGGGCGGGTGGGACACAGGGTTCTGCGCCAGCAGGAGAGAGCGGCCTGGGGAGGGGCTGGGAAGGGCGAGCACAGGGTAGAGAAGGTCCTCACAGCCCCCAGGGGACACAACCCGACTGGCCATTAGGGGGAAGAGCTCCTAGTCAAAACAAGAGGGGAAGGAGCTGGATAGATGTGACCATGTGACGGGACAGGTCCACGGCTGCAGGACGGAACTGGGAGGGAGGACTCCCTGCACACAGGCACGAGGGACTCTTCCTCGGCCTGAGGGTGAGGCTGCCCAGCTCGGCAAACCCAAGTCGCTCACTCTTTGCTTTTGTTTTTCAGGGTAACCACTGGCTGAGAGCAGGACCAGCAGGGAGGAGGGAGGCCAGGCAGGGAGGCCAGGCAGGGAGAAGAGAGGCCAGGCAGGGAGAAGAGAGGCCAGGCAGGGAGGAGGGAGGCCCAGGCAGGAGGAGGGAGGCCAGGCAGGAGGAGGGAGGCCAGGCAGTGCTGCCCAACTTCAGCTTGGGGGCGAAGGTGAAGGTGTCCAGGAAGAACAGAGTGTGGTCCTCTCCGGAGAAGCACCTTGTACAGAAGAGGTGGCCATGGAGGTCCTGGGTCAGGCACAGAGATAGGCCCAGTCTGCCTGCTGCCAGGTGACCTGGGAGGCCCCCCGTGCTGCACAGCGGAAGGTCAGCACACACAGAGGACGTGGGCACAGGCAACCGACCGCAGCCCACTTCCTTGGCAATCCAGGATGAAATGCTGCACGGACAGAGGACAGGCCCCCGTGGCTGCCCACACTGCCCGTTTCCCAGAAGCGTGGACTTCAAGAAGCCCATCCCCCACCTGAATAAGATCCCAAATCAGACCCCAGCCAGGTAGCGCTCAAATAGAGCTTTCAAGGCCACAGACCACCTGTGAGCCCCTTCCCACATGGCCCTTGCACAAGGGGTCAGCAGTCAGGCCCTGGTTCTACTGGACGGGACGTGGGCCCAAAGGCTGCCACGACAGGTCCTCCTCATACTCAAAAGCACAGGAACTGAATGCGGAAAGCTGCAGACTCATCATGTGCCTGAGACACACGGACCAGGAGGGATGGAGGGCCTGAGGGGAGGGACCGCCCTGGGAGCTCTAGTTGGACCCTCTGGGAAAGCACAAGGTCAAGGCTGCTCTGGAGTCAAACTGTTGGCAGCTCCATTCAGAAGCTTGTGATAGATCAGGGTGTCTCACCAGCTGGGGGGGGCCAATGGGGGGGAGAGCAGAGTTGGGGGGAGGCTGGGACAGTGGGCTGGAGAGCAGAGTGGGGTGGGGGGGGAGGGACAGTGGGAGGAGAGCAGAGTGGGGGAGGGGGAGGGACAGTGGGAGGAGAGCAGAGTGGGGGTGGGGGGAGGGACAGTGGGGGGAGAGCAGAGTGGGGTGGGGGGGAGGGACAGTGGGGGGAGAGCAGAGTGGGGGAGGGGGGAGGGACAGTGGGGGGAGAGCAGAGTGGGGGTGGGGGGGAGGGACAGTGGGGGGAGAGCAGAGTGGGGGAGGGGGGAGGGACAGTGGGGGGAGAGCAGAGTGGGGGTGGGGGGGAGGGACAGTGGGGGGAGAGCAGAGTGGGGGAGGGGGAGGGACAGTGGGCTGGAGAGCAGAGTGGGGGTGGGGGGGAGGGACAGTGGGGGGAGAGCAGAGTGGGGGTGGGGGGGAGGGACAGTGGGGGGAGAGCAGAGTGGGGGTGGGGGGAGGGACAGTGGGGGAGAGCAGAGTGGGGGTAGGGGGGAGGGAGAGTGGGGGGAGAGCAGAGTGGGGGAGGGGGAGGGACAGTGGGCTGGAGAGCAGAGTGGGGGGGAGGGACAGTGGGGGGAGAGCAGAGTGGGGGTGGGGGGGAGGGACAGTGGGGGGAGAGCAGAGTGGGGGTGGGGGGGAGGGACAGTGGGGGGAGAGCAGAGTGTGGGAGGGGGAGGCAGGGACAGTGGGGGGAGAGCAGAGTGGGGGAGGGGGAGGCAGGGACAGTGGGCTGGAGAGCAGAGTGGGGGTGGGGGGGAGGGACAGTGGGGGGAGAGCAGAGTGGGGGAGGGGGAGGCAGGGACAGTGGGCTGGAGAGCAGAGTGGGGGTAGGGGGGAGGGGGGAGGGACAGTGGGGGGAGAGCAGAGTGGGGGAGGGGGAGGGACAGTGGGCTGGAGAGCAGAGTGGGGGGGGAGGGACAGTGGGGGGAGAGCAGAGTGGGGGTGGGGGGGAGGGACAGTGGGGGGAGAGCAGAGTCGGGGTGGGGGGGAGGGACAGTGGGGGGAGAGCAGAGTGGGGGAGGGGGAGGCAGGGACAGTGGGCTGGAGAGCAGAGTGGGGGAGGGGGAGGCAGGGACAGTGGGCTGGAGAGCAGAGTGGGGGAGGGGAAGGCCGGGATGGTGGGCTGGAGAGCAGAGTGCCCCAGGTGAGGCAAATTTGGGGCTGTGGCTTTGGGATCTGCGCAGGCCCGGAGGCAGGGGGATGGATGGATGGCAGTGAGCTGTGCTGGCTAGGAGAGCAGTGGAAAGGCTTTTTGCTAAATGAAATATTCAGCTCCAACATGCATTTATTTAACACAGGAGAGACTCCCTGTTCCCCAGGAGCAGCCGGCCCTGCCCCTCTGCCTGGGCGCCTGCCGTCATGGGACGATGGACGACCAGGCTGGCAGGAGGGAGCTCGGGGCTGGCGTCCGATGCCCCGAGGACCCCAGAGGGGCGTGGCGGGCCAGCGCGTTTCTTCTTAGGTGTCCCTGGGACGCGCCTCTCAGCACCCGGGAGGAACTGAGCTGCCGCAAGCCTGGGCCCAGCTGCGTTCCCACTTCCGCGTTCGTGTCCTCCAAAACCAAACCACAGAAGAGCGCACTGTGGGCACTGATTTGGGCACCTGCCACTTCTTTGTGGAGGCCACGTGGATTGGCAGCGCCAGCCACTGTGTCTCTGGAATGACCAGAAACGCGCCCTCCACGTGCCTCGGCCCACCTTCCACTCCCTGCGTGGCCTCTACACCCAGCCCGGGTCCCTGCTCAGCCAGGACCAAGGGCTCCTGGAGGGGTGGCCGCCCTGCCCGAGGCTGTTACTCAAAGGCTAAAGCTTCAGTCGCACTGGACGAGGGGCCTGGGTTCAGACCACACCTGGGTGAGGGTCCATACGGGGCAGTGGAGGGCAGCCCGGCAACCTCCCCAGGCACTGTCACCCAGCCGGCCAGCATGGGGCCCCGGGATGGACCCGCTGGCAGCTCCACGAGGCTCCTCTGGGCAGGATTCCAGAAGCTGCTCGAGTCCCCAGCTAGACAGAGGACTGGCCCACAAGGGACCGCACGCGGGAACAATGTCTGCTTTGTTGCTGAGAACTCACGCCCGTGGGATTTCTGGCCTCGGACTCCCGGGGCTTTGTGGGTTTTGAACAAAGTGAAGGGAAGTGGTCTTCAGAAAATCCCAGAAGTGATTATGCCCCAGTGGGGACTGACCGCGGAGGCCCTCCCTCCACAAGGCACCCTTGTGCCTCCGGGCCCAAGAGCAGGTGTCACCGGCCGCCACTCTCGAAGGTGTCCCGGGCTTCTGGCTCAGACAGACGAGACCTGCCACAAAAATGAGCCCTGCCTGCGCCTTAATGAGGGTCACCCACCAGGAGGGCTCCAAGCAGGCCGGAAGGCGGACTCGGGCATGGCTGCCCCGCGCTCCGCGGGCCCTGAGAACCTTCCAGGCCCAACGCCTCGTCCTGGCTGCGAGGGAGCACCTCACCCAACGACCAACTGACCCCTGTCCCTACACCAGTGACAAGGGCCTCTGAGGTCAGCCTGGTCGGGGACACCCCGGGCTCACCCTGTGCCCGCGGGGGCTCCAGCATCCCTCCCCCAAAACGCCTGGGAACACAGGTGCTTCGGATTCCAGAGTTTCCAGAGTCTAGAATATCTGCAGATGCTGCCCACGGTCCCTGGGGTGAGACCAAGTCTGCGTCGATTCACTGTTTGACTTGCACCTGCCGCGCTTCGCCTGAAGGTGACTTCACACATCTCTCATCATTCTGTGTGGAGCAAAGCTCCTGGTGTGGAATTTCCACATGCGACATCACGTCGGTGCTCAGGACGCTGAGGATTTTGCATCCTTTCAGATTCTGGATCTTTGGATTGGGGAAGCTGGACCTGGCCAGGGCTGGCTTGCTTCCAGACCAGGGTCTGCCAGCCCTTGTGACCTCACCCCTCAGGGCCTTCCCCAAAGCACAGGATGAATGGCGGGGCAATGAGTGGTCCACCCCTGCATGGCGTCCACCCAGAGCTGCCCCCATGCAGTGCTGCCCACGGCAGATGCCAGCTGCAGTCTGGGCACCAGGCCATCAGTGGGTATGTCGAATGCAAGCCTCTAGGGCCTCCCCCCAGCAGGCTTCCAGGCCAAGGCCGAGTGTCCCCAGGCCACCTGCTCTGCCTCTCACTGGCTCTGGGGTCTGGTGGCCCACACTGCCCTCTGCCAACTAGGGTGACAGAAAACCTCCCTGTGCCCTGCCTGGGAGGGAGAGGGAGGGACGTGCTGCCTCTGGGCCAGCTGTGGCCATCGCTGCACCCACTGGAGCACCTGAGATACTGGCCCTTCCTCTCTGTGTGTCACCCCAGCAAAGATGCTCAGAAACACCACCCACCTCAAGACTGCCAAGGACCACACTGACCACCGGCTTGGAGACCGGACGTGGTGTGTGCCACCGGCCAGTGTCCAGGATGCTGTGAATGCGGCCTTAGTACAGTGGTGGAGCCCAGGGTCCACCACATGGGACACCCCAGCCCCGGACCTGCAGCCTAGGATGGGCACCTGTGGGCAGCCTGCTGCCTGGGGAGGGGCAGGGCAGGGTGGGGCACTTGCCGCCATAGGCACCCCTTCCCCAGCAGCCTCCCCCTTCCCCACCTTCCCAGTTCCCGGCTAAAACCTTACAAGGTGGTCAAACCCCAGGGCCAGGAGTCTCCCCCACAGCAGGCTGATGCCGAGGTGCACAGTCTCCAGGGCCAAAACAGGGGAGCCACCCCAAAAGGCATCCAGAGCAAGATGTGGTGCCTTCCAAGGCCAGCAATGTCCCTCTCAGACAGTGCCCAGAGAAACGAGAGACCCCGGGGGGACATGCCCTCTCACCCTCACCGGGCCGCACCTCTCCCTCCCAGGGACATGCCAGGGCCCTGTGGGCCTGGTGTCCTAGCGGACCTCATGCTGGGGTCCTTGCTGATGGGGATGCAGCAGGTTGGGGCCACCCTCCCTGAAAGTGGAACGTCCCCACCACTGGAGTGTCTGAGACAGGCGGAAGGGAAAGAGAGCCCAGCCTCCGGGAAGAGGCCTTCCACCTGGAAAGCTCTGCAGATACACAGACAGACAGACAGCTCTAACTTCGAAAGGGAGTCCAGGAAGACGCCCTCACGTGCTCTCAGATCAGAAGGACCCACTGTTGTCACTCGACTGGGAGGAGATGGGGAGAAAGGGCCGGAGCCGTGGTGAGGCTGTGACACAGAAAAGGCAGGGAGCAAGGAGCCGCAGGGGACAGACAAACCCCGTGAAGAAGGGGGCCTCCTGGAGACCCCGACATCAGGAGGGAAACCACAGGACAGATGCCCGAGAACAGACAGCCACTGGAAAGAATGATTTCAGGAGACGGCGCAGGGTGATGGAAACAGATGAAAAGTCAGGACGCGTGGCTACAGAGGAGTAGAACTGGTAAGGAACAGGGAGGACCCCGCAGCCACAGCCGGCGCGGGGGAGCGGAAGATCCCGCGAGCATCTAGGACAGCGCCCGTGAGGGGCGACGAGAAGGGACAGGAGGAGGACGTCCAGGCCGAAGCCGACCACCAGCCCGCAGGGAGAAGGCCCCAAGTGTGACCCAGGCGCAGGGAGATGCCCTCGAAGGCAGGACCCAGGCAGAAAGGAGCGCGGCCTCTGTGTCCAGCCGCGAAGCCGGTCTCCAGAAGCACAGGCCGAGACGGCGTCCCCCAGGATGGAAAAGAGAACCAGCTCCTCCGAAGCAACGGTCACGGCAAGACCCCAGACCAGGTGCACAGATGTGACCAGGGAAAGAGCGCCCCGGCCCAGGGAGCAGGGCACCTCTTCATGGCTCAGGTCCCTTCCCCGGGGACTTGCCCGCTTGGAAGATGGTTGGCAACCGAGATCACATTTCCAAGCTCACGCCATCACAGATGAGCACGGAGCAGAGAAGTCCAGTCGCCGGGGCAGGTGTCCAGGAGGTCCAGCAGACGGAGCTCGGCCTTCTGCTCTCTGGGCTACCCAGCATCCTCCTTGGGGACGGTGCCAGGACGTTCACATTCCCACGCTCTCCTTGGGGACGGTGCCGAGGCAGATGCAGGTGCCGGGGCATGGGAGGCCGTGGCGCACCACAGGGAGAGGGCGTGTCTGGCTCGGGTGTGAGTCACGGCGCTGTGGCCATGGTCCATGTTCAGAGCCAGCAGTACAGCATCCTCACAGAACACGAGGAGCTGTCCAGCAAGGAGCCCCGCGGAGAACGAGAACCTGCTGGACACTGGCTGAGCCCACTGCCCCCAGGACTCCTCCTCAAAAGCAGACCGAGCACTCAGCAGTGAGCTCCACCTGCTCAGGTGAGAACCCGAACAGGCGCTGGGAGGAGGAAAGGCCCCTCCCCTGGCCAGAACCCGGCAACGCAGGGAAAGTGTGGCAGACAGTGACCATATGCAAACGGTCCTGCGCCCCCAGGAGATGGCAGGCCCAAGGGGGCGAGGCAGGGAGGGGAGGGTGTGTGTGCGTGCAGGGGTGTGTGTGTCTGTGTGCGTGTGTGTGTGCATGTGTGTGTGCGTGTGTGCATGTGCATGTGTGTGCATGTGTGTGCGTGTTGTGTGTGCGCGTGTGTGTATGTGTGCATGTGTGTGTGCATGTGCATGTGTGTGTGCATGTGTGTGCATGTGTGTGCACATAGGCACCACTAGCTTCTCCCCTTCAAGCCTTCCTGCTCCTCCTCCCTGGGCGGCCTCCTTGGCACCAGGTGTGGTCTCCCGTGAGGGACTAGGGGAGTGGGGAAGTGTCATCCTCCACAGTCCCCTCTCCCCTCCCTCACCGTCCCCACAGCTACAGAAAGGACCCGTGGGGGTTCCGGAGCTCCAGGGAGTGGCCCAGATGCCGAGGAGAGAGAGCCTGGGTCCCTGAATGTCTGCGTGGATCAGAAGGCCCCACCTCTTGCCTGGCCAACCCTAGAGGCCAGAGGGAGAAGGGGACACGGACGTGTCGGTGCTGAGGCTGGAGTCTGCTCCGCGGGGAAGGAGCGGAGGGAGAAGGGGAATTGGACAGCAGAGGAGCGAGGCTCCAGCCCTCGGGGGCATCCTGCTCGGTTCCTTAAGGTGTCCCTGGACACGTCGTCTGAGACCTTCCTGTCTCCTTCTCTCCTAAGTTAAATAAAAAGCACTAACGAAGTGGGCCGCTCGCGGCGTGGGGTGGGCGTGATGCTGAGGGTGACGGACGCGGCTGGGGCGGGCCTTGGCACCTCTCTGCCTGCATTCATCCCCTTGTCCTGGGGATGCACCCCAAGACTCGGGGGGGGGGGCTGGCACTGCAGATAGTGCCACCTGCTCATGCAATGCGTCCCTGTCACCTGTGACAAGGGCTACTTTATAAACTAGGGACAGTAAGAGAGAAGCAGCGACGGCTGGTCATAGAAAAACCAGGCAACACACGGTGGTCAAAGCTGCTTAGAACTTATGGGTTGTGTACCTTGGAGTTTCCCATACAGTATTTTCAGGTCATGGCGATCAACACGGCAGGAAGTGAGGCCGCTGATAGGGGGCCACTGCTCGGGAATTACCTGCAGCAGTGTTCCTCAGAGGTGCCAAGTGACATAAGAAGAGAGCAGCCACACACCCAGAAGCCACCGTGTGCTTCCAACATGGCCCAGGGCCTGCGGCACTGCAGGGGTTAGTTTGGGGGCCCTGGGTCACCCCAGCTTCCCAAGGAGAGGCGACCTGACTGACCTTGTCCTTAGGACAGTGAGCGCCTACTGGAGACAGCAGGCCCCTGCTGGGCAGGGCTGGTGCCCCTGGGAGTCGATCTCCTCTAGCCTCCCTGGACCCAGGGAACCAGAGCCCTGCACAGCCTAGGACGCCAGACCCTGAGGGCACGGAGGTGCAGGAGAAGCCCCTTAACTTCTCCTCTGATCCCAGAGCATGGACCTCCAGCCACTGTGCCCCCATAAAGGGGAACCCTTCTGTGCTTCAGGGTCCCGCCCAACAGAATCCTACAGGGGCTTCCCCAGCTCCTGCCGTTCACCCCCCAAGAACCGTCTTCTTCCTGTGCGCCGTGCTGGGACCGCTGGGGTGGGACCGCTCGGCTCTACACCCCCACGGGTGCGACGGGTGCTGGGAGCAGAGATGCCTCCTGCAACGGAACACGGTTCGATTGAGACAAAGCGAACAGCACCCAGGAAGCAGCAGAGGCAGAACAGACGGCCTCACGTCACGAGGACGCGGAATGTGCCCAGGCCCACACCTCGACCCTTCAAACACAGTGGAAGTAAAGTCTGGTCTTCTCCTTCGGGCTGCAGAGGCTGGCCCTGACCTCGCATCTGAGCACCGAGCTCAGCTCCCGTAGCCCAACTCCATGTCACCCCTGCCCTCGGGTCTCGCCCCTGACCTCGGATCTCACCTCCGGACCACCCACTCCCACTCGCCATGCTCCAGCAGCTGCCCTCTCGACTGAGTCCCTGCGGCCCACAGAGACGGCTCCCCACCACCTCCACCACCTGGCAACCATCCGGCCAGTGCGTGTGGGCATGCCCTCCCCGTGCCCAGAACAGCCGGTGGCTCGTCACAGATGCTCCTGCAGCCGCTGAGTGTCAGCAGGCCCAGGGCACCCTCATGTCCACACCCCCGAGCAGGACGCAACCCCACACCAGGCCTGAACACCGGCACCCACAAGCCAGACTGGAGATGCCTCCCGGGAATCAGCCCTCTGCTGGGGAGGGCGTGGGCCTGGGGGCGCTGTCTCTGCTCGGGGGCATCCGCAGCCTCACGGGAGAGCCCTACCAGACACGCAGAGGAGGGAGGGACGAGGGTCAGGAGAGGGTGCCTGGTGACAGGGTGTCTTCGGAAACCGAATCACTGTCCTGTCCACCCTGTCCATCACGCCCACCACCCCAGCCCCTGCCCAGCACCAGTCGGCCTCCAGCGGAGGGCCACAGGCACCCGGAAGCAGCTGAGGACAGAGGTGGACAGCACAGGCAAGCAGCCACCTGAGGGCACAGGGAAACAGCACAGGGAAGGACACGGGGCCCAGGGCTGGTGGACAGTGGCCTGGCCAAGGCCAGGAAAGGCAGGGCTCATGGGATCTCCATGCTCCCGGAAGTGGGGTGGGCTCGGACATGGGGACCACGCATGCTGACCTGGAGCAGCGAGGGAGAGGCAGGCTGGACAGAGGCCAGCCCTCAGTGTCCACAGAGGTGCTGGCTCACACTGATCCCGGTGCAGGACGGCCGCCCGTCCCGCGGGCCGAGCACGCTGTAGTACGTGCTGTGGCTTGGGTCTGGTGTGCCTGTCTCTCAGGGTGGCTGGGTGGAAATCAGATCCTCACCGTGAGGTATTAACAGGGTGGAAACAATCTGTCTGTGGTGTCCAGAGCTGGGGCCTTCGGGGCCAGATGATCAGCAGTAGATAAGGTCACCAGGATGGGGCTGGCGGACTCCTGGTGGCCTCATGAGAGAGCAGGGACAGACCAGACAGACAAGATGTGCTCCCTGCTTCCTCCACGTGGTGTCCCATGTTGCCTGGGGACTCTGCCCACAAAGAGGCTGTCACCAGAGGAGGCCTGTGACCTTGAACTCTTAGATCATAAGACAAAATAAGCCTCTTTTCTTTACAGAGTAGCTTTCCTCGGGGACTTCGTCATAGCAGCGAGCGCATAGGGCTGATAGGCTGTGCCGTGAGCAGAGGCAGGAGCAGGGGACAGTGTGGCTGGAGGGAGGGGCTGGGTGGGCAGGAGGAGCACCTTGCCTGTGTCATCATCCCTGGGGGTCCAGGTTGGACCAGAGGCGCCTGTGCCCTCCAAGCCAGGTGGATGCTGCCCAGCTGTGGACGGAGGGTGGGCCTGGGAGGGCGCCACCGTGCGCAGGGGCTCACCGTCTGCTGCAGGTCCTGGATGACCACGCGGATCACCAGCGTGTTGCCCTGGGTCTCCTCCATCCTCGCCCCGCTCGGCCTCTCCCCCGTGGCCCGGATGGTGTCGTAGACGGTCTCGTCTTTGGAGCTGTCGGACTCGGAGCCCATGGAGTAGTCGGAGAAGCTCTGGGCCATCTCGTCCTCACTGGACGTCGGGAGGCGCGGCATGGCTGCCAGGTCTCTGCCAGGAGAAGGAAACGTGAAGATTAAAGAGAGCCCGGGGGCTCCAGAGACCGGCCCTGAGGAGCGCAGGCGCAGCTCGGGCTTTGCAGGTGACACCACCCACGGTCGGCTGTGCACGTCCACGTCCACACACGGGTCCCTCAGGCGGCACGAATGCGGCGCCCCTCCCCCCCCACGCCAGGCAGAGGCAGCAGCAGCTGGGACAGGGACCTGAGCTCCAGCCTGAGGCTGCAAAACCCAGCGAGAGGCAGCCCCAGTGAGCTGGCGAGAAGAGAACGGGCTTAGGAGGCGTCACCAGGGGCCACCGGCACTTGGAAACTTCCACGTGAGGGAAACGGCTGCCTTTGGTTTTCTTTGAGGACAGAGCCGCAGGAGAGGAGGAGAAGTGGGCACGGGGTCAGATGGCAGGAATCCTCCCTGTAACAACCCCTGCTTCAAACAGCTCTGAGGGAACTGGGTAAAAATAGCCGAGAAAGACGCGCCAGTCTCAGCCAGGAAACAGCCTCCGGGACCAGGACAGGAGCTAACCCCGCGGCCCAGAGCAGGCTGAAGCCGGAGACTGGGGTCCCCAAGAGGCTGGGGCAGCTGGGAGGGCTCCTCCCCCTCTGTCAAGGGCAGTAACCACACCCAGCAAAGATCCAGCCAGGCTGCCCACGGCTGCCTTGGACCACGGGTCTCAGCAAGCATGGAGGACAGACAGATGCTGGGGGCAGGCACCGTGACCATGACGGCCTCCGTTCCTGGGGTTCAGAAAGAACTGAGTGACGCTGGCTTAAACCGGGGCCTGGTGGAGGGCGTACCAAGGAGACCCAGCAACTGCACCTCTGCCCAGACTCTAGGAAGAAGGCCAAAGCCACCTGCCTGAGGAAGGATGTACAAAACCCAGCTGTCCCAGGAAAATGGGGACACGTGTCACCCTAATCATTCAGGGTCTCTTCTGCCCATGCGTATGAATGAACCCAAGCTACGTCTGGGTGACCCCAACACGTGACTCTGAGCCAAAGGGAGTCATCTACAGAATGATCCAGAAACCCCAGAGCCTGCTCTAGAGGAAGGCTGGGAGACACAGCCCAGTCCTAGACACAGTGCGCAGGAGCCAAGGCTGAACCCAGGAGAGGCCTCCCTTGGGGGACGAAGTGGCAGGCTGGCCGGCCTCCAGCCCCATTCTTAGACAACAAGATGCCAGACGTTGACGGAGCCGGGAAGCGGAGGTCCCCTGTGTTGTATTTATGGCTTTCTCTCTCTGGGCTGGGGGCGGGAGGGCACAGCACCCCAAACACACTTCCCCAGAAGAACAGGCGGAGCCCAAAGCAACTGAGAAGCAGCAGATGCAAGAAAAGTGCCCTGTTCTCCCCACACGGGCCCCAAAGCAGGACACGAACTGACAAGGTCCCCTCCTCTCTGCTGGGGATGCAGGTTCGTCTCCAGAGACACCTCTGACATCAGCCTGAGACCCGCACAGCACTCAGCACCAGTTCTGACCACTTTCCTCCCCAGGCGCCGGCCACCTCCCAGCCTGCCACCTGGGAGCTCAGCCCTTCCTCTCCCCGTCCTGTTGCATCTCTAAAAACTCCCTGTTCTCTTGTTGAGATGCCACCTAAGCTGTGTCACACTGAGGGACCCTCTGAGTCACTCTCCCCAGGCTTCTCCCATGGAGTGTGACAATCGGGTCTTCCTGGATCTCTCATCAGCCCCATTCACAGGGCCCCAGGCAGAGAACCTACAGGTGGGAGGGAAAGCTTTTCCAACTCTGCAGAAGGTCGGGGAAAGGGAGGGAGGGAGGGAGAGAAGGGAGGGAGGGAAGGAGGGAAAGAGGGAGGGAAAGAGGGAGGGAAAGAGGGAGGGAGGGAGAGAAGGAAGGGAGGGAGGGAGGGGAGAAGGGAGGAAGGGAGGGAGGAAGGGAGGGAGGAAGGGAGGGGAGGAAGGAGGGAGGGAGGGAGGGAGGAAGGGAGGAAGGGAGGAAGGAAGGAAGACAGTCAGGTGGGTGGGTGCATGGTTGTCCAGGTGGGTGGTGTATGGATGGATGATAGATACACGTATGGATGGAAGGAAAATTGGGAGGGTAGATGGGTGGATGAAATGGATGGATGGATGGATGAGTGGATCAATGGATGGATGGATGGATGGATAGATGAGTGAATGGATAGATGGATGGATAGATGGATGAATGGGTGGATGGATGGATAAATAGGTGGATGGATGGATGGATGGATGGATGAATGGATGGATAGATGGATGGGTGCATAAATAGGTGGATGGATGGATGAATGGATGGGTGGATGAATAGTTGAATGGATGGATGGGTTGATGGATAGATGGATGGATATGAATGGATGGATGAATGGGTGGATAAGTAGGTGGATGGATGGATGGAAGGAAGGAGGTTAGGAGGGTGGATGGATAGATGAATAGATGAAGAGATGGATGAATGGATGAACTAGTGAATAGATAGATGAATGAACTGGTGAGTGTGTGAGCATATGGATGGACAGAGGGACGGGTGAGTGACTGAATGGACTGGTGGATGGGTGGGTGGATGGATGAGTGAGTGGGTGGATGTGGAGAAGAGGGAGAAGAACACTAACAAGATGCTGTAATTTGAGGTGCCTGCTGTGACCTGGTCACACTGGTGGAATGAGGGACTAACAATGGCCTGGAGATGGTCTGAAGTCAACAATTCACTGTTCTATTTAGACTCTTTCTGTAAATTAAAACCTATCTCCTGTGCGCCAGCAATGCACTGGATTTGCAGGGGGTTGGGACGGCTGTGATCCAGAGTGTGCCTATGAGCGGCATGGGCACCGCGGTTCATGGAGCCCGTGACCCACTGGGTCTCCTCCCTCCTCACAACCCTCGGGCTGGCACAGGACAGCCCCTGAAATCGGGTGCGTGGTGTCAGTGGGCACAGGTAGGCTTCCCCGCTCCAGCCCTGCAGCCCATCCAACACTGGTGCTCTGCATTCTCGGGGGCCCGTGGAAATGCTGCCCGTCTCTGTGGGCACCAGGCAGTGCACCAGGACTGCGCAGCCAAGACAGAGGGGCCTATGCACATGGCTCACGCTCTGGTCCCCACAGCAGGAGTGGGCTTTAGAAAACACTGAGCGTGCAGTTTCCCCATGAGATTTACCCGGTGGGACTTCGGGCTTCTGAGAACCACGGCTGCGGCCACCCCAGGCCCTCCATGCCCACTGGCAACCTCCCACCAGCACTGTGCTGCAGCCACCCCGGGGCCACTGCCCTCCCTGTGTGATGCACCACAGCTCACTCTGGACCCGCCCACCTGCCCCGCGGCTGCTCTGTGTCTCGTGACTGGGGGCCCTGGGAGTGTGCAGGGAAGCCCTGGGAGAGCAGGACCGGACAGCAACCCGCCCCAGGGGTGGTCCCAGCTCAGCCTGTCACTCCTGCTGAACCAGCTGCAGAGCCACACCCCGCAAGAGGCCCCGTGCTCCTCCACCCTCCACCCCAGGCTCCAGGGCCCCGAGGCTGCAAAGGACCCTCTCCAGAAAGGCAGCTCCCCACTCACGGGAGTCACAAGATGGTGACCAGGGGCGTACTGAGGCTGGGGGCTGGGGTCAAGGGGGAGGCCAGGGGCCAGATGTGGGTATGACACGTGACATTTCAACGCTGAAATTCATTGTTTTTTAAGATTCAGTTTGCAGTCCACACACATGTCCCGAGCTGGGCCCAGGGGCCCCTGGCTGGTGACCCGTGATGGACACGTGGTCAATACTGTGAGGTGTGCATAACCCCCAGGGTCTTCTTCCCCAGTGAGGGGTGCAGCCTGGCTTGGCCTGCTACACCTGGCCTGACTCCAGGACACATCTGGAGCCCAGGCAGGGACAGCAGCAAGGAGACCTCCAGGCACCGCCCTCCAGCTGCCCGGCACATGCCCACAGCCCGCCCCTCGCACCGGCCCTGGGAGGTGGTCACACACTGGCAGGCCAGACACCTGACTTCCAGGAGGGTCTTGGCCCTAACAGAAGGCTTGAGTGACCTGGCCAGCAGCTCTGTGGGAACAGCAGGCACCTGGCCCAGGAGCCTGGACAGAATTTAATGATTAACTCCTGGGTAGGGCTGCCGGGTAGGACAGAGGGCGGCCAATTACACTGGCATTTCATATGAGCAGCAGATGAATTTGGCACTAAATATACTCAAATATGCGCTAAATATGATTATGCAGGACGGCGGCTCGGGTCACACTCACACTGAACATCCATTCATGGTTCATCTGACGTCCAGACAGAAGCGGAAGGCCTGCGTGTCATCCGCATCACTGTGGAGGACACACGGGTTCCCTGACCCCCTCAGGACCAGGCTGCAAGGGAGTTCCCTGGGAAATCAGCTCCAGGGCAGAGGAGGGAGGCCCCCGCAGCACGGGGCACCCCTCCGTGTAACTATTCTCTCGGGGGACGCACCCAGCTATGAAGTCCCGGGGGTGAGGTTCAAGGGCTCAGACTCTTACATCAGCCCTGCTGCAGTGACTATTAATAAGAGAAAAGAAAATAACCACCGAGAAGCAATTTCCACAAAGACTCGGTGCTTTGCTGCTAACCTGCTGCAAGAGAACATGAAACTTCCACTGGCTCATTAGGCCCCTAAAGGCCCCCGTGGACAGCGGCTGGGTTTCCCAGCGCTCACTCTTCAGCCATCATGGAAATATAAAAGCCGCCTCGGGACAGAAGACACATAATAAAGACACAAACAGAACTCATGGCAAGGCCACTGGGCCTTTGTGGATCACCTGCAGGAGACGGGGGGTGCCCCGTGTGACTT